TGTGTGTGTGTGTGTGTGTGTGTGTGTGTGTGTGTGTGTGTGTGTGTGTGTGTGTGTGTGTGTGTGTGTGTACAGTTTATGTCAGTTGAGTTAGTACACGATCAAATTTATGAAGAAAAGAAGAGTAAAAAAGAAAAAGAAAGATAAGAAGATGACATAAATCGAGGATAAAACATAAGTACTACATGTTAATTTCTAACACTTTTTACTGTTATTTATTTAATTATAACGTATATATGTCGCATCTATTGTAAAGACTGATTAGGATTAAATTGTATTTTTATCAGCGTATATCAAAATAAAATGTGATAAGTACCTCTTAAATGAAATCTTGATTTTTAAATACTTTCCTGGCTTGTCGAAAGCTTGTCGAAGCTTAAAGAAGTATGAACAAAAAATTTTTAACGCTTCTTAAATACTTCATTGACTTTCCATTGACTCTTAGTGGTTTTGAATATTCATACACGTTCAAACAAACTCTCCCCAAACACTCCGTAAAGTGTGCCCAAACACATCTGTCTCATTTCCCATACGTTACAAATTTTTTTTTTATTAATGTTTCTCATACTCTCTTCAACACTCTGCAAAAAATGCATGGAGCATACTGATATACTTCCTAAACATTTCATTAGTACTTCGTCTACGCTTCCTAAACGTTCGGCAAAAAGTATACGGAGCATTCAAATACGCTTTGTGTAATTGTGTATTGTAATCTATAAGAAGTGAAAATTGGAATATGGAACGTAAAAGAAGCGTAAAGAACTAAACGTAAAGAAACATAAATAAATAAAGCGTACATAAGTTCTTCAGCAAGCACGAGCAGAATGTTCATTAAACAGAGCGTGATTAGGCAGTTTAGAAAACGTAAACGGACATCGTCGAGTTCTTAGACAAACGTGAATGAAATGTAATCGTGATCCTTGGTAAGCAAATGATACTATTTTAAAATATAATATATTTCATATATCTAAAAAAAAAGTACTATGCTTTTATCTCCGCCTAGAGGCTCACTTAAAAAAATTATTCCATTAGAATATGACTGAAAAATCTTTCAATGTTGTCTTTTATTCTAATTTGTGCGATTTTTTAAATTCGAGAAATTAGTTCTCGCTAAGTCCCTCTGATGGCGGTGCTGCATATTACTTAACAGTGCTTCGCTGAACAGCTTAATGACTTCGTTTTAAAATAAATTTTATTTCTATATTTGAAAGTGTACATGAAGCGCATTTAAATGCTCCATGCACTGTTTGCGGAGTGTTACAGAGTTTGAAAAAATAAATATTTAAAACGAGGAAATGTGACAGACGTGTTCGGCACACTTTACGGAGAATTTGAGGAGAATTCGAGGAGCGTGTACGAATATTCAAAACTACTAAGAGTCAATGAATTATTTAAGAAAAGTTAAAATTCTTTGTTCACACTTTTTTAACAATTTGATAAGATTTACATTTTTATCAGGGATTATATGTACATATATAAAAATATTTTGAGAAATATTTTTTAAAAATAAAAATGATAATTAACATCACGTTTTATGTTTACATGGATAAATTATATTATTATTATAAGAATAATTGTACTTTACAAAGAACATTATATTGTGCATTCAATATATGAAATATTTTGTCAAAGTTATTCATTTCAACTTAAGTAAATGTATCGTTAGAAGGCACGTAAGTAAAAACCATTAAGCACAATTATTTAGTATAAAGATATAATGTTGTAAATATAATTATGTATATAATCGTTTATCCTTTGTAATAAT